AGCAGATGGTCTGTTTTCTGGAATAGGATCCCAACATTTTTCAATAATATATTTGCACCATCTGGGAATATTCTTTGGTATCTTGGGTCGTATTCCTTTATATATGTCAAATACAAGATATATGTCATGACTCCGCTCACCGAATGGTCGTTCACCTGTTATAACCTCGTGCATAATCATCCCAAAGCTATAAATATCGGCAGCTTTAGTGTATGACTTTCCATTTAGAACCTCTGGACTCATATAAGGAAGTACTCCGTAAAGGTCTTTAGAATTATTTATATTTGCTGGGCCAGTAAGCCCAAAATCAGCGATTTGAGCTCTAGTATGCACTAGTATATTTCCAGGGTGAAAGTCACGATGCACAAGTTCCTCTTCATGAATTACACTCAGCCCTTTGATAATATGAAGTAAATGTATTAATTTTTCTTCCCAGCTTAATTTTTCGTAGTTGGAGTTAATATATTCACGAAGATCACCATCTTTTGCATAATCCAACACTATCGAATATTCATTTGTAACTGGGTTTTTAGTTATTCCAGAATACTCGATTCTATATATAGAAGTTGTGTTGCACCTTAGAGCAGTTTGAATCTATTTTGAGAAACTTAATTGCGTTAGAAAGCAATAAAGCATCATGCATACATTTTAGAGATGGTTCATTTCTTTACCTCGTTTATAAACTTTGATGTAATTTGTTTTGAATTATGTAATGATTTCAACGCAACTTCGCGTTCTCCCCGTCGTCTAAATTTATTTTTTTCATGATCCCACATTTCAGTTGACAGTCCGTCAAACCAGGTTGCTTTATAAATTGTTCCAAACCCTCCTTTTGCAAGATATTTAACATTAGTGAAACTTTCAAATGGGATCCATTCAAAAGATCTATTAATTCCCTTGCATTCTTTTATTAGACAATCGATATCTTTATTTCCGCTAGACCAATCAGCTTTATAAATTCGTTTGTGATATTCAGAACATTTCCAGCAGAAATCATTTTCTTGACAACGAGTACATTTACTACAATCATGTGTAGTGTGAACTGAGCATTCATTGCAGTAGTAATTATCTCGGCAACGACAACATTCACTACAATCGTGAGCATTAATGTCCATCTTTATAAAATGGTTTTAGTGATTACGTATAAGGTGAAAGGGGGTATTTTAACGAATGGGATATTGTAGTGAAATTGTCAATATCGATATATGCTTAACGTCAAGGTTAAGACTTGAACATGTATATGTATATCGATATACATGTATTTTATATTAAAAACATATGTATATGTTGTGTTATCATCAATACGTGTACACGTACATGTACCATGATCTATGCACGAGAAACGAGAAAGAACTTCTATTTGGTAAATACAGTCAATAAATAACTGACCCCTATTACTATTAACTCGTCACACAGACTTAAATTTTTTATTTAAAAGCATATAATTTATCGTGATCAATTGCCATAGCGTCGCCACACGATTTCTCATGCTATTAACCAAATTTGCCGCTAGATCATTAGGTAAACGGGGCCAATTCACTTTTCAAACCCTTAAGAGTTCTAATTTTTTTTCGCAATATTCATTTTCATAATCCCCCAGAACATTTTCGATTGGATTTTGATCGGGTGACATCGATGGCCAGGGAAGAACCTTTACGTTATTTTCCTCCTTCCATTTTTTTGCTAGTTCGAACGGTGTTTAAGATCATTAGCTTCCTGCAAAATCCAATCTACACAATCCTCACAAAAAAGCATCTCAACGGAAGGCAAAAGACCCTCCCTATACAGTGTAATCATAAAATCAGTGTTTAGATTCCTCTAGAAGCAAATCAACTTACCAAAGCCCGAAGTCGAAAAACATCTCCATACATGAATTTTTAATGGATGCTTCTTCCTCGCTGATTTAGGTGAAAGGTGCTTTCTTCTGAAAAAATTACTCGATCCCAGTCAAAGTTCTTATGCTTGTTCGCCCACTGTAGTCAATTTTTTTTCTGATTGTCAGTTAGTAGAGGTTTCGAAAGTTGGTTCGTATATTTAGCTCCAACTTTATGCAGACGTTGCCGAATAGTATCCACACTAACGTCAAAATTATAGTTTTTCATTTTATGTTGTATTTCAGTGGAACTTACGTTTTTTTCGTCTTTTGCGAGCTCTCTTATGTTTTTATCTTATTTTAGATTTGTAATTCGTTTCCGACTCGATTTTAGTTCATTATTTAAATATTTTGTTTTATTCCATTTTTTAATTATGTTAACTACTGTACCTTTAGCACAACCGACGTACTTTACAGTGGTCGCAAGTCCAAGCTTTTGGACCCTTGGGATGGGTATGTGAAAAAACGATTTTATAACGCTTGTGTAAGAGAAGAGATGATTATCTATGATGTTAGCGTTAGTATCAACCTATGCATCAATGATCAGCGTTTGTGATGTTCTTTGTGCTCAAAATCAATCTTTAGAAACGCATTGTTTTTTTCTTTTTCCCTTTTTGTTTCTTTATCAATTTTAATTACACTGCAAATTCCACCGGAAATTCCACTGTAATTTACACCGTAAATTATATCATATACGAAATCAAAAATGTATATAATGAGAGTGAGAAAAAGCAAAAAGAAAAAAGACAAAAAACTTTAAAAATAATTACTTACTTGTGTACAATAAGTTTTTATGGTGCCCTTTCATTTTTCGTCCTAATAATCCATTGTTGCCACTTTGATCCAGAAAAGTGAGATAATTGTTTTGACAACCGTAACAACTACGATTTAAAAGGTTTACGCTTTTGGTCCAGAAAAAGTGAACGTATTGTTAACATTTGTGAACACGTGAACGAAACCAAACCGACGATTGAATACAACGATATTGGCACAGGACTTTAGGAAAACTGATAAATAAAATAAATTTAGTCTAATTCATTTCTCCCACCCAAGTTACAGATTAGCAGCTAATTCCTATAATCGGCCCCTAACCTGTAACAACATTACACATATGTAATTTTCGGAAAGTTATCGGGGGTCAGTTACTCTGCCCAAAGTTTAAGACTCCGAAAGTCTGAATCTATACTAGGAGTCTCGGAGATAAAAATTTTATTTCGTGTCCCGTTACATATGTGAGCCACTGTACATATTTCACAAACTCTAAACAATTCCCCAGATAAGACTGGAGGCAGTTGTACAAGCTTTCACAACGAAATGTGGGTGATTTAAATCAACTTTGCACACCTGATGACTAGATTCCATGACGGGAAAGCATCCGTTTCATGCGAGCCGCCGTTAATAGAGCTCCTGTAAAAAAGTAAACAATAATCCAATACGCGTTATATATTTTTAACTGTCCAATATATGTACAACATATAATAGAGGACATAAGTTACAACCCTCTAAATCATACAAAAATAAAAAATTAGATATTTTTTTTAGTCTAAACTGCAGAACGAACCCTAATTCTAATGCATAGCACAGTATAATTTCCATTGGTCTCGATTAGTCAAAATATTACTAGCCAATTTCATAACAAGTTCATTGGGAAGACAGTTCCGTTCATTTACCATTCAAAATCTATCCCCAACTATAGTGATGATTACCATTAATTTATACATGTTCCATGTTTAAAAAAATGAATTGTTCACTTATCTCGATATCCAGTGATCCGATACAAGCGAAAATACTACCATCCGATTCGACTAGACGAATTGGATGGTTGTGCCAAATAAGTAAAGCTTTAAAATTAGTTTTGGCTAAAAGAAATCAGGAACTAGAAAGTTTAGATATTTCTGACAATAAATTTCCCACAAGAAGTAATTTTTACTGTCCTGAATGTTTTACCAAAAGAGTATTTTCGCTTGTATCGGATCACTGGATATCGAGATAAGTGACCTGATCCGTCCGTACAAAAATATTAGCATTCGATTCGTCTTGACTAGACGAATTATTATTGTATTTTTGTACGAATCTGATCACTGAACTTCATTATAAGGTAAATTTTCACATCGATATTGCTTGTAAAGAGAAAAGTCAATTGTGTTGCACATGGTAAAAGTTTCAGCTAATTATCTTTTAATATAAAATGAGCATGTTTCGACGGACAAAAGTTGAATGCTTTTGTTTAATTTCAATACTATATATGACAAAATAAACATGTTTTCTCGACTGAAAAACCTCGCATATTTTATATTCATGACATCCTTTTGGCTCGCATTGCGTACCACTAGTTTTTTGAAATAAGGTAATTTACTTTTTGAATCTTTTCAAGTTTTTTGTATTTCCTTCAATATTCTCTGTGATAAGAATTTTATAATTGCTATTGCGAAATTTGATTTTATACAAGCTTAAAACGCTATCCAATTTACTATTATTGATGTTCAAGTGTAGTTTGGGCAAGGTTTCTTGTCTTTTCCTTTATCAGATTTGGAGGAAAATACAACTTTCTCATAGTTGTTCGTTTAAAAAAAACTGTTGAAAATTATTCCCTACAACTAGTTATTAGAATATTTTTGCATGCGAGTGTGAAAGTTGCAAAGCCAAAATTCTTTTACTGAGATTATGTTTAAATTACTACCGCTTAACCAAAGACTAAGGCTATGACTCCGTATGATGACATACGGTCTTTTTGTAAATTTTATCCACTAATAAAGTGTCTTGCTATAATTTTACAAACTTTTGGATTAGGGATCAGACAATTTTTTAGTAAATGAATTATCGTTATTATTTTTATAAGCCAAATATTAGAGATAAACTCGTTCAATCAATTTTGACAAATCAAATTCCTGATAGTGGAAAAAATGAGTCTCAGAATATAAAAGGATTGCTGAAGCAGAGAAACAAGAGAAATATAAGTCCACCTTTAATTTGTATATTACTATAATAATTAAAAGACTGTTTACTATGGCGTGCCCATATTACTGATTATTTGTTGTTCAAGTAAAATTTTCCAAAAAATATGACATAAATGCACTGATAGAATATTATCTTAAGACCCATAAAATTAAAAAATTACATTAATTATTCAATCCTTTATTTCTAAACTATCGCTATTTGCAACTCTTTCTTCCATGTAAGCATTTAATTCCTGCAAATCTGCAAAATGTAATCGATGTTCAGGCAACCAAACTTTAGAGGCTTCGTTAAACGCCACAACAAATTCATTGTCTGTTTTCGTGCTTACATGGGAAGGATTACGCTCATTTATTTGTTCAAAATGAGGTTTTAATTGCGTTGATGTTGGATCCGAATTCGCACGTGGTATCGGTATATGCATCATCTTTATCGTTATGTTGTCTGGCTGTATTCGGTTTGTGGAAGTGGATGTCAGATTTGTTTCTGAGACACTATTTTTCGATTTATTTAGCCATGGAAAAATCCAATGTAACGGTAATGATGAATATCTGAACACCAGAAATAGAATTGGGCCCCTGTAAAAAATAAAGATTAATTTTTTTATTTAGTGAGAAAGTCCCAAAATATTTCATTAATTGATTACATGAAAACCACTGAAAATTCCGTGTGTGTGGGCGGAACAATGTAACGATCTTTACTTATGTAGTCTATTACTCGAGGAACTAAAAAAAAGAAACAAAAAGTTATAAGATGCATAAAAAATTCTTATGTCTTGTATTCGTAAACACTTACATATCACAATAATCAAATAAACGACGAAGAATATAGATAATAGCAGCAATTGAACGGATAAACTAGTAAATAACAAAAACAATTGAGAAAAAACAGAAACTTAAATTCTGAAATTAAATATTGAAAGATACCTTTTTTTAATATCTAGTCGAGTGTCTCGAAAAGTATTTTTTATGACAAAGAGCCTGATGGTTGTGTGCGCTAATTAACCAAATTGTAAGTAGATATCGATATTCGAATTCGTTTATTTGATGATAAATACTCACTTGTCAATAGAGACCCGGTCAATATTGCAATTACTAATGGTGTTAGGTAAAAACGCAATTTTACAGCATTAATTTTAACCATACAACCTATAGGACCGGCTAGAACTCCAAAAGAAGCAGCAGCAATCTCTGAACCTTCCGATTTTGATTCTTTCATTTCAAACAAGAATGTCAATGCGGTGAATAATCCAGCTATAATTCCGGATCCCACACAATATTTCATCCATAAATTTTTATTATTATGATCAATTTTATTCAGCACAACTAAATGCCAAAGATTTAATGCTAAACTTGCGAACATTATTCCTTGCATTAGCTTCGAGAACAGCGTAATGTATGCTTGAAATATGCATAAATTTTCATTCCTGGCTTTAGAGTAATCAGCTCCATATCTTATAATTGTCAACAAAATTACTATAGCTTGTAATGTGGAAATTTGACAAAAGGTAAAAAGAATTCTATAAGTTGTACCTGAAGAAGGAAATACTATTTTTGATAAAAGCATTAGCACAAAGATATTTATTGTTTCTAACGCAATGAATGATGATTGTAAAGGATTCATGCCCATTTATTATTACATGTATTAATAGTGAAGATTATTTAAGACATATCGATATAAACCGGTTAATGTTAATCAATTTAAAGAATAAAACACTTTTTAAATTCAAGGAGGAACAAAATAAAATCCTTACATAAATATTTATTTATTTATTGACCTATTTCTATTCTATGAAAAAACATTCATTTGGCACTGCTAAAATTATTGGATACTTTTTATTTAAAAACTTACTGCATAGCGACTTAATTCACAAGCTGATTGTTTGTATCGCAAAGATTATTAAGAGCTTATTTAAATCTTGTTGATCGATCACCAATGCTTCAAACATATTTTTATGTTTTTTCCTCCTTAAACTTGAAGATGAGTGGTCTCTGCTTTCACATGTTGTACTTTCATTTTCAAATAGAGATAACCAATGTACTGTACAGTAAATTTAGAGTTTGACCACCTGATTATAAGTTGATGTGTACATGTATAACGAAAAAATGCAAAATTCGTAATTTGATTTAATTTAAACAAATTAAATACGTACATGTGCATGTAATACGTACATGTACGTACCCACTACGTAATGAGTAGTGATGGACAAAATTAGATCATTTGTTATTTGACAAGTGATTTTTGATTACTGGTCACTAAATTTTAGTATTAAAATAAGATCATTTAGTAGGTCACTGTCCAACACTGCTAATGAGAACTAAGTACATGTACATGTATAAAACACGATCAAAGAATGTGTATGGCAGGATTAATACATAGCAAAACGTGATTTTTGAATTATCTAAAATCATAATGTCCAACGCATGCTACTTTGACATACTGTGATTCAAAAGTCAACACATGCCATGCATACTTTTCATTTTTTATTGTTATTAATTGAATTGTTAAGTTTTTGTTTCTAACTTCTCAAAATTGAACATTTTAATATCGTTATTTTTTGATAGTTCAAAATTCATATCTCAAAAACCTATTTACAAAATTGGTGGCATTTCATTTTTTATTGGCATGCAAAGAGTGGTTTTTTTATTGGATGTTTTACTTGATAAATAGGTTGTTATTAAATAAAATGTCAGTATTATTAGATAAAATATATACTAGAATTAAAATATGATTTTATAACTTCAAAGTTCAATATGTATAATTAGTAAATAATTATATTTTAAAGAATGATCCAATTTTATGATATCAGAATAATAATTGTTGATGTTTTAGTAAATATAATTTATTATTTACTAATAACTGGTAACATTTGATACTATTTTATTGGCATTCCGAGATGAGTGATTACCTCCATTAATTTTCGATCCAAATGTTTAGCAAATTCATCAGTTATAATTGAGCAGTTAATACCTGAATCGATAGTAGCTTTAGTCATTGTAAATATCATAATACTATTTATATATATATATGAAATAAAATTCAAAATAGATGAGAATTATTATTTATTAATCTTACTAGTTTCACTAATATGTGATAAAAATACAGAGTTAAATATATTATTATAGCTACAAAATAACTGTTTCTGATAATAAAACATCACAATGAAATTATATCTGGTCAATATATGCAGAATCATTTTGAGAACTTAAAAGTATTCATCCAAAAAAAAGATATAGATCATTAGTCATGTATTTAAAGCATTATTTTTCAGGAATTTAATATTCAATAACAAAAAAGAAATTATCAGATTCAGAATACTATACAATAAAATTTTTATTATATTGATGTTGATATCAGCGAGGCACATATAATTAAGAGTGAAAATCTGATTATGTTGATAGTGATATTAATGGGATATAATATCAAAGCTGATATATGTGGGAAAATTTTATAAGAAGAAATCCGTTCTATAACCAATGTTGCTAATAGAGAGATGTTGATATTAGCGAGGTTGATATTAGAGGGGGCAGACTGTATATCATAAAATATAATTTCATTAATTCTTTTATTAAATATATTTTATAATAATTTTTATTCCTACTTGAATGTTAAAACTCTCAATTTGTCACTTTTGACACCAAATTCCGCAAAATATTATTATGTTAATATGCTTTATGATATTAAGAAATCTTGTCCCTAATATTAAGGTATAAGCAAAAAACACTTTCGCCGGGGACCGTATTTTAGTTTTTTAGAAAAAGCCAAAAATTTTTTTTGTACCATAACAATTCCGAAGCTATAAATATCTGCAGCTTGAGTGTATTGTTTTCCGTTTAACACCTCTCGCTCTGAACTAAGATAAGTACTCCATGGATGTTTCGATTATATTTTTTATACCTTGGTAAGTTCAAAATCGGCAATAAAAACATAATAATACACTAATATATTTACAGGATGAAATCATAATGCACAAATCCCTCTTTGTGAATTATACGCAGACCAAAGACAACCCAATATGTGTGTCTTAATTTTTCTAATTCTTCGTATTTGGAATTAATATCGATAACGATATAAAATTTTTATTCAACGAACATACCTGTACGCGCAGTGTTGTCGTTTGGACGTATTGGTCATGTGCACTTCTTAGCATGCATAACATACATACGTATAACGGTAACATAAATGACGGTCGAGCATATACGTGATTCTAATCTGAAAATAATGTCACCTTCACCTTATATGATGCCAATGATTGGTTGGAATACGCTAAATCAGAACAAATAAAATTTTTTGATTTTAATGAATTTTCCGATACAGAAGTAATCGGAAATGGAGCGTTTGGTGAAGTCTATAAAGCCGAGTCGAAACATGGAGATTTAACTGTTGCTTTAAAATGCATTTATATAAAAAATAAAACATATACTGAATTTTATATGAGAATTGCAATATTAAATTCAAGACTAACGCTAATGGCTCATTCTATAGTTGAAATACCTTATCAAACTCAATCATCATCAAAACATCATTCGCTTTTACGGAATCACTCAAGGTAAAATATATTAATTTTTTAAAGTCTAATATAATTTCATTAATAAAAATGTTCTTTAGATCCGATATCTAAGAAGAACATGCTCGTTTTGAAATATGCTAACGACGGAACTCTTAAGGAATATTTAAATGTTAATTTTAATAAATTGAGCGGCAATTGAGTTTGGCTAAACAACTCGCTAAAGGAATAAAGTGTATACATGATGCAGGCATTATTTATCGAGATTTAGTAAGGAAATTTTATAGATTTATCGTATAATTCTAAATTTGATTTATAAAACTAATGTTGAACTGTTTCTTAATAGAATCACAATAATATACTTGTTCATAAGGGAAAATTAAAATTCAGACTTAGGCTATTCAAAGCGTTCCAATGATCAATATCATTCGAAACCCGATTTTGGTGTGATAAGTTATATTGATCCCGCAGTTCTAAGAGTTATGGCTAATTTTAGACGAGATGAGAAATCCGATATTTTTAGCATTGGTGTGCTGTTTTGGGTTATCCCCAGCGGTCGTCTTCCCATCAACCAACATGGATATGTTTTTGGTTCATCAGAAAAGAAAAAAGAATTGGCGGAACTCCTGATAAATACGTAAACCTTTATCAAGCATGCTGGAATGACGCACCAACAAATCGCCCAAATATCTATGAAGTAAACAAACAACTTAAAGAAATAGAATGTCTATAGGTCAAAAGTTGCAACAGCTGCTCGCGAAACTTCTGTAATCAATACGTTAATTTAGCCTCCACAAAGTTCCGATTTGAACACCATAGAAAATTTATGTCATGAAGTGAAAGATGCACCATATATTTTCACAGAGCTCGGACAATACGTGAAAGTGCACTCGAATACTATCGAGAGCTTATTTATAGTATGCCCGATCGAATTGCCAGTTATTTGCTTGCAAATGGATATCATACAAAGCATTAATATTTAATATTTATTTTTATTTATTATTTCTGTTTTGTGTTGTCAAATTTAACGATCAGATCTTCTGATGACCCACGGTATATCGAAAGGAATTTGAAGCATTTCGATGGCAATAAAGAATCATAGAAATTATCAAAAGAAAAATAGCTTGAAGCTCTCCAAAAATACCAAATACAAAAAACGAACTTGATTCATTCAAATTGAAAGGCTATCAATATCAATAATGTGAACAGATTTTTTGAGATCAAATGACTCAATCAGCTCTGCTGCTCGATCATGACAATTTTCGTGAACTATTTTAATGCCATATCGAAAACTCCAAAGCTAATAGCATTCGGCCAATTAGTATCAGTGATTCTGCAGATCTTACCATTCAAATGCTTTGAAAGTGCGTAGCATTCTGCTAAATAATATTGGGTATTTCTATTTTCTAACTCGGCTGCTTACTCGAAATACGAAATTGCTTTCTTTAATCTCTATTAGTTCCCTCGCTATAATAATACCAGTAACTAAGAAGATACTCTCCATCCCTCTACTGATTTCAAATACCAATCTAATGCTTTTCTCATCTTCTTGAGTTCCATCATCCGTTGATTTTAGATACCATACAAGTGTCTTTTTCTCATCTTTTGTGTTCCTACACCCAGTGTTGTCAACTGCATTGTCCCCCAAATCTCCACCCTCGGCTGATTTTAAATACAATTTAAATACTTTTTCCTCGTCTTTTTAAGTTCTGATTCTAACAATACTTTCTGCTAATTTCAAATACCATTCAAATGTTTTTTTACGTTTTTTGAGTTCATATTCCTTATGCCGGTCAGTGGGCATTCAGAAGCTACCGTACATCAATAGCGATAGTAAACCAATTTTCATATATAATTAAACGAACAATTTTATTCTTCACAAGTTGTAATTACAAAGTGCTGATTTCAAGTATTATTCAATTCCCTTTGCATAACAATAACCAAGAAACATGTGAAAAGTAAAAAAATGAGATGATGAAAAAGTTGAAAGAGCTCATGGCAGAAGTTAAGGTCTTGATAGAATCACCGTACTTTCGGTTAAAGATTGAACGTAATTTCCTCCCAAAGTTTTGATTGGATACAAGTAATTTCCATCGTTGATTGATTGACTGCACACAGGGTCTTCTAAATCAACCAATAAACTTTTGATCAACCCGGCAAAACAAATCCAAAAAAATTAAAAGGCGAATAATGTGAAAAAAACTAAGGAAAACGAATGGGTAAACCTTGCCTGAAGTACTAATAAAAAATGTTGGGAAGACATTTTAAATATAGTCCTAACCCTAACGCTAAAACTAACGTTTAATATCCTCAACCAATCAAAACTTCGGGGGAAATTAGTAAATGCCGTATATTGCACTGGTAACTTTTATGAATTGAATGAGCTTCTTATCGTCATAAGTCATCTTTTTAAATGGTTATAAATTGCCATTTTTGCATTTTAAATGGTACCAAATGAATCACTGTACATATCGATATAGCGATATCATTGAAGCAAGGATTCAAAAACTAGTCAGCTTAATTAAATAAATTTGTTAATATTTATTGCTCTTTTATTTTTATAACTGTTTTATCTCGTCCAAGGCATCTGGCTGGCGCGATTATAATCTGTGCTCAGTTCCTGATCACATGCACATGACAAACCAATAAGGATGCGCAAATTTTTTATCAGCCCGGCAAAACAAATCCGACACAAAAAAATGTGAAAATGTGGAAAATACGGGAAACAGATATCTAAATCTAACTTGAAATTTTACATATAACTTTGTTCTCCACTCTAACCCTTACTCTAACCCAAACGATAAAATTGACCTTTAATAGTTGCCGGCACACATATGATTTGCGCATTCTTATTGGTTTGTTATCATTGAACGCGAACCGAGCACAGATTATAATTATGCGTCTGGGTCTGGCTGTTTCGTTTGAGTGAAGATTTTGAAGGATGATTACTGGCGTTTGTTCTCGTTTTTGTTTAGAGTACAGCTAAAGCTCTATATAACGAGCCCCTTGTATAGCGAGATTTGGTTATTACGAACTTTTGAAAATTCCCGACTATAATAAAAAGTATTTGTTTATAACGAATTTTTCTTTAGTGCTCATTATGACGATTTTTTGATCCATCGTTATATGTGTAGAGCTTTGACTGTAGTTTACCAATAACTAAGAATTGTCGCTGTATTTGCATTCATCAAAAAAAAATTTTAAATATTTACAAATCAAATAAAATACCGTAATTCACTGCATACACTGGAGAAAATTTAAACCTAAATTAAATTTAAAGCTATTTAGTAACAAAATTATTTAAAGAGATTGCACCATGAATATTATTTAATCATTCGCAGACAAAATGATTGGTTTTACCTTAAATTTTCTACAAGGGGGAGGGGATAAGAATTAATGCTAAATATGATAATATATTTTGAAAACAAGAAATAAACTAACCAACAATTTCAATTATGGAGTCACTTCGTAAATTCAATTTTTTTTATTATTCATCGAAATGCAGTTGTAATTGTGTTAATGATTAATACAAAGTAACATGTTTCATACTATATTTATATATAAACAACAGAAAAGATTAGCAATCAGAAGCCCCAGTTTGTTCTACAACCTCTTGACCGGTGTTTGCGGTCACTTCTCCGCTCGCTTGGTTGACTGGAGAAGCGACTTTTTCAGCAGAAGCTAAAATAAAAATACGAATAATAGTATTTTTTCGACGTAGCAAAATCAACCTCAAATTGTCAAAGATAAAGACCTTCTTTATGTTTCGCTGCATCGATTTCAGCTTGTCCCACGATGATTTTTTGTTCACCCTTGAGTTTCATGCCCTCGTTGTTGATTAGTTTACCCCTAATATTAAAATAGCAACAAAATAATAATAAGATGTGAGCAATTTGTAATAAAAATAAAATCGGCGGAAAGAATATACATACATAGTCTTCTCAACGGTTCCTTGCACTTTTTCTAATTTTCCATGGAGTTTGCTAGGCACTTTTTTAGATAGTGACATTTCAGTTCTTGTATAAAAAGATTTCAAAAGGATGTTTTTAATTTGTTTGAAAGAGAATAAGAAGAAAAGATACGCTATTTAGTACTTTTTTGGTCGATGAGTTTGTAATATATCAATGTTTATAGCTTAACTAATATACATTACTAAAAGTTCATATGATATATCATTTTTGGCGTATACATGTCATGAGTCGGAACCGGATTTGTGTTGATTCTGAATCAACCTAGGTTGATCCAGGATTCCGTATCAACGCAAGTT